AAAAGTGGTAGAGCACTGGCCTTGAGCTGAAGAGCTGAGGGACAGCGCCCAGGGCCAGAGTTCAAGCCCCATGACCAACCAAAAAAAAAAAAAAAAAAACATGCTCTTATTTCATTTTTACTCCTAAAAGAAATTAAGACTGGAAGGAATTTTGAAACTGTCTAGCTTACAGCTAGGTCACACAGACATGTGACCAAAGTAAAGCTCAGCGACATTAATGAGCTCATCCTGCCATCATGACTGAGCCAGAACTGAAATCCAAGCCTCCTCACTCCAACGCCTATGTGTTTCCTGTTCCTTTATAGTGTCATGATGTGCTTTCTCAAGTATTTGGATACTCCTAGGAATATATTTCTGCAAAAAGAGATTGATTCTTTTTTTTTTTTTTTGGTCCAAGACTGGGTTTCAGACTTTCTGTCTGGCAGGCGCTCTACCACTTGAGGCATGCCTCCAACCCAAGAGTTTGATTCTTGACTGCTTAGTGGGGAAAAAATATCATTTATTGTTTTTTGGTATTGAAAAGGACCTTAGAGATCACTGACTTTAGTGTTTCAAATGAGGAAAATGGGACCCAGAGAAGTTAATTCAGTTTTCCAAAGGAAATTTGTGAATAAGGAGAGTCGTGGCTTTTTATAGCAAGATCACATTGCACACCCACCATTTGTAAAAGACAAGCAGTGGAGTTCTTTATTCACTTGAGTTCCCTGATATTAGTTATAAACTTTGTTGGCCAACACACAATTTCTCTCCGGCACCCATCAGACTTTCACAGCACACATCTGACTACCAGCCCTTGATCATGTATTCCAGCCCGACCATTTGCAATCAAATCCACAAGTCTATTCTTGATAGTTCTGTCCTTGTGACCAGTGATTCTCAGATTCCAATGCAATTCTGATTCTTAAAAGCTGATTTGCAATTAGCTTGTTCATATCAGATTGATAATGGTTACAATTACACATCCCCAGCCCACTTCAAGTATTCTGATCTTGCTTGATCCAAAACAGATCAATTACATACATACATGTGGTACATGATCCACAAGCAGCACTTTAAAAAGTCTTTAGTCTATATTAAGGCTTGATGTTTTTGTCATACATAAAAAGTGGTGAACTTTCTAATTCAAAATAAGAAAATTTTGGACTTTTGAGCTCAGAAGATCAGGTGTTTAAAGCTGACTGCATACTGCATCTGCCCTTCTGGCTATTTCAATTGCTTCTGTCTTCTTGTTGATCTCTCAAACAGTGAGCAGCTTTGGGCAACTCTGATGGAGTTACGACTCCAGTGCTAGAGCACCAGCCATACAAGCACAGGACCCGATTTCTAAACGCCAGTAAAACACACACATACACAAGCATGGTACACGCACAGAGAGATACAGGCAACTCTGTCCTTACACACACACACACACACACACACACACACACACAAGCAACTTGTCAACTCTCTACTCACCAAGTTACCATCCAGTGCACAAAACCAACCAACCACACAAGCTAGAGACAACAAAGCATGTTTTGAGCAACATGTGAACATGTGCTAGATAAAAATAGAGTCTAACCTTCACAGATGGGAGAAACAAGTGTGTTTAAATGTTGACTCCCTTAGACTCTGTTGCCTTCATGATTTAGTTCCTAGAAGCAGAAAGCTTGATATTTACGAGAGAGAAAGGAAACACAAGTGCCCTTTGAATTCACTCCTCTAATGCATATCATGGCACAGATTCACAAATCTGCTCCAGGCTGTATCTCATCCTTTTTCTTAATTGGCTGGAAGAGTCAGATCTTGTCCCTCTAATGATCATAAAGGATGCTTGACGGCAGGAAGTAACTGTGTCAGATATTTCTTCCAGGTTTCCTATAGGGCTCATTTCAGTATAACCAATAGTTAGGCCCCTATTGGACAGTAAAGAAGTGAGGCCTGTGTGAGATGCTTCAGGGACACAGATGAACAAAATCCCTGTCCATAGTCATTGCATTTCCCAACCCAAGGCCACATCAGGAGGTGGTGGTGCTTGAGGGGGACAGTGAGTGGACTGCAATGGTTTGTAAGAGACGTTACAACAAAACATCGTACATTACAGTTCTGGTGGTTAAAGTCCAAGATCCAGTTGGTTTTCTTCTGAGGTCTAGGAGAGAAAAACCTATTGTTATGCCTCTTCTCCAGCCTCTGCTACTTTGCTGGTCATCTCTGGTGTTCCTTGGCGGGTAGTGGCCCTGCCCCAATTTCCAGCTTCATTTTCACTTCATACTCTCCGAGTATGTGTCTCAGTCCGGGCTTCCTCTTTATTAAATAAAAAAAAAATACTTGCCAGGCATCAATGGCTCATGCCTATAATTCTTGCTACTCAGGAAGCGGAAATCTGAAGATCCAGGTTCAAAGCCAGCCAGAACAGGAAAGTTCTTGAGATTCTTATCTCCAGTTGATTATCAAAAATCTAGAAGTAGGGCTGTGGCCCAAGTGGTAGAGTGCTAACTTTGAGTGAAACGGATCACAGACAGTGTCCAGACCCTGAGTTAAAACCCTAGGACTTGCATGTGTGCGCACACACACAAACACACACACAAATACCTATCATATAGGAATGGAGTCTACTTCAGCATGACCTCACGTTAAGTAATAACATCTACAATGAGCCTACTTTTTAAATAAGGTAAAATGTTAACACATATTTGAGAGGGGACATAGTTCAACCGGTAACACATCCAAACCACTGAGTACAATAGGTAGCAGGGAAACATGAGAAACTATAGGGAACACAAGCTGATGGGCCCAAGGAAAAGCAAAAAGGCTCCTAACTTGGGACAAGAGAAAATGGGGCAAGTGGCCAAAACTTAAGCATTCAATGGCTGTTCTTCATGTGAGAGAAAGTGAGGGAAAGCATTTGATTAAAGGTGTGTCTGTAAGAGCATGAAGCACCTGGAGACTTGCCAAAAAAAAAAAAAAAAGCCTTGAATGCATGTAGATTTTCAGGGACAGATCTCAGCCTCTAGAATAGCTAGGATTAGAGGCATGAGTCACTGGCACCTGGCACCCTTAATCCTAGAGAAAACTTAGAAAGACCCACCATCCCTTGTGGGCCTTCTGCCATAGGTAGGTAGGTGAATTAACTGGGTGTAGAAGGCTTTCTCACTTAGACTAAACTCAGGGCCTGTGCGGCACTCTGTCCCTGAGCTTTTTTTGGCGAGCACTCTACCACTTTGAGCCACAGCACCACTTCCGGTTTTCTGGTGGTTCATTGGAGATTAGTGTCTCACAGTCTTTCCTGCCCAGGAGGGCTGGCTTTGAACCATGATCCTCAGATCTCAACCTCCTGAGTAGCTAGGATGACAGGCATGAGCCACCGAAACCAGCTCTTAACAGGAACACACACACACACACAAACCAGCTGGGTTACCCAGGCAGACAACTCCCGGCCAAAAAAAAAAAGGTGCCTTTTCCTGCATATTCCATGCGGGCTGGCTGCCTCCCTTGCCTTCCTTGCATTTGGCTTTTAATCAGCAGTCATTGAAGAGAGTGGTGAGGAGGAATTCCGGGCTCCCTTCTGGGTGGAGGGGACAGTGATCTCAAGCTAATCGGAGAACGTGGAACTGGGGCCTCCCGTGCGCCACGTGGGTGGACTTTCCCACCGCTCCAGCTGAACACACACAAGTTCCCAAGGGGCTCCCGGGAGGGGTGGGGGGCCGGGGGGGGGCGCCTCCTCCCTTCCACGCCAGGGCTTTTTTCTTTCCTCTTTTTTGAAAGTACAGGCCAGCGTTGGAGTCACTCCATCCAAACAGGAAATCACCAAGATTCTAGGTAAAAAAGACATGCTTTCCTTTGGGAAAAAAGGTCAGGCTTTTTTTCTTTTTTTAATTCAGTCGGTGCTTTGCTGAGGACCTACTATGTGCCTGGTACATGGACACACCAGTTATAAAGCCAGGAGGATGCAGAGACAGACAGACAGACAGACAGACAGACAGAGACAGAGGCAAAGACAGAGACACAGAGAGACAGAAGAGACAGACAGAGAGAGAAATACCAAAAGAAGAGACAGAGAGAGAAATACCAAATAACTTCCCCTACACACACACACACACACACACACACACACACACACGCATCTGGCACAAGCTTACAGGGGGTGGGGTGAGGCTTTTAAGGGGTTGTGATGTCTTCTAAAAATTAAAAATGGGAATAAAAGGCTTCAGCCTCCCGCCCCCCCCCGCACCCCACCCCTTCCCCTCCCTCGGAGCCTCCCAAATGTGCGCAGCCTGAGCCCCGCGGAGGGCGGGGGTGGGGGTGGGGGGGCGGGGGGCGGGAGGAGGGCGGCAGAAGTGGCTGGACGACCAGGTGGTCCGGCAGAGCCGTTGGGAGCTGCGCCGGAGGTGCGGGCGGGCGCCGGGCCAGGCTCCCTACCCCCTCCCCTCCCGTGGTACCTCGGCCTCTAGTTTGGAGTCCCGGGCGCGCGCGCCCCGGCTCCGCCAGCGCCCCCACTCCCCGCGCCATCCGGGACTACAGGCATCTCCCCGCCACCCGCCCGCAGACCGAGCCACGGGAGCAGTCGCCACAGCATCCTCCGGAGAGGCGCGCGGGGACTCTGCAGCCGCCGGCCTCCATCGGGGCCCCGCGCCCCCAGAGATCTCCACCTGCCCGGGGACCCACCCCCCTTCCACCCCACCCCACCCCGAGAGGGAGGGCACAGGGCAGAGACGGCGCAAGACCCAGGCGATCCACTGGACAAGGAAAAGAACCACCGCCAACACCGCCCGCGTTAGCACCCGGGCCCCAAGTTCAGGAACGACACCCCTCGAGGAGGGGCTGCGCCCCACGGCGAACCCTCCTCCGCCTCCGGCTCCGGCCACCCCGGCCAGCCGGCCCAAGGACGCCAGGAGCCTCTTCTGCCTGCGCCCCCCCCACCCTGCCCTCTCCGGGGTCGCCCACTCCCCTCCACCCCCCTCCCCAGTCCCGGAGAGAGACGTTGGCCCGCGCGCCCCAGCGCCCCGCGCCCCGGCTGGGCCATGCCCGGGCTGCGCCGGGACCGCCTGCTGACCCTGCTGCTGCTGGGCGCGCTCTTCTCCGCCGATTTCTACTTCCACCTCTGGCCGCAAGTGCAGCGCCAGCTGCGCTCCCCGGGGCGCCCTCCGCGCTGCCCGTGCTCCGTCCGCGCCCCCGCCGCCGCCGCCTCGGACCCGGGCTCCACCGCCGCGGCGCACAACTTTTCCCAAGCCAGGTGGCGGGCCGAGGCGGCGCGGCGGCCGCGGGCCGAGCGGGCCGAGGGGGCGGCCGGCCGCTCCAAGCTGCAGGCCCTGTTCGCCCACCCGCTCTACGGGGTCCCCGAGGAGCCGCCGCCCCTACTGGGACCCGAAGACGTGCTGCTGGCCGGCCCCGAGGCGCTGCGCTATTACCGAAGGAAGGTGATCCGGTGGAACAGGTGAGGACCCCGGCCCCACCCCCCCCACGAGCGAGGACACCTACACACACACACACACACCACCACCACCACCACCACGCTTCCCCAGATCCTGGCCCAGAGTGGCTGCACCCAGGCTGAGGTCCAGCGCGCCCCGGCTCTGGGCTTGGCGCCCTGGGTCTCCCCAACCCAGCCCCTGAGCCCAGCTGTGGGCTCCCTGCAGTCGAGCTCCCTGCAAGAGAAACTTTCTGGGACTTCCCAGTCAAAGCAGTGCTGTCAGCCCACTCTCCTGGTGTGCCCCAGGTGGGGTGCCCCCCACCCCGCGCACCCACCCCCTGGGTCTCTGGTGCTGAGCCTTTCTTTGGTGTGTGTGGTCACCAGGAGGTTTCCAGACAGAGCCACCCGAGTCCAGGGCTGGTTCAAATGCAACAACAGCCCCGCTGGCTCTGCTGTATAGGCAGCCCTGGGTGACCTCCCAGAAAGTATGCTACAGTCAGGGACTACAGAGGTCAGCGTGGAGCAGGAATCAGAGGTCAGTTCATAACACAGCCCCACCCCAATTAAACAGTGGCAAGGACTCTGAAGAGAAGGCGGGGTTTTTTATCTGTTATGATCACAATGATTTGGGCTGACTTCAGTCTGAGGGTTGAGAGAGAGAGAAAAAAAAAAGAAAGAAAAAATTGCCTGGGAATGTTTAAAAGCGAAAGCAAATTTTACAGGGGGGGAATATCAAATGTATTTAGGATAAATGGAAGAGGATGTTTTTTCAAAGAGACTAGGGGATGTAGGGAGGAGGGGTTGGAGAAGGCATTGTGGTTATTACCGAGGCCCCCGGCTAATTGCAGGAAGCCTTCTCCTGAGCTAAGGACTCTGTTTTGAAGTAGAGAGAACTTCTCCAAATATCACTGGAATTGAGAGTTCACTTTTCATACCACACCCATCTCTTTTCTTAATATAAGCGATTTCAAAATGAGATGTCATCAGAGGGTTTCATAGTCCCTGTGGAAGTTGAGTAGACTGTACATCTCCGCTGAAACTCAGAGCAAGCCCAGTGCAACTGTTTGCTCATCATTTCATATTGCTAAAACTATAGGGACCAAAAAATAATAATAATAAACTTTAGAAAAAAATTTTAAGGGGAGGAGGGAGAGGTTGATCATTATTGGCTGAAATCACCTTGGTGAATTTCAATGGTAACCCTATTGCTTTGTGGTTTCATATCAGAACCAAAGTGGCTCTCATTTCCATAGCTAATTACAAGCCATAAAAAGGCAGTTTGAGATGGCTTCTCAGAGGGTCACAGCATTACTTTACTTCATCATGTGGGAATCTGGATCAGGGAACCAGGGCATTTTTGCCCTTTCCAAACTTATCTGCAGATTTAAGAACAGGATTTGGGCAAAGTTATTTGCTTTTGGATTTGGGGGCAAATATAAATCTACATTTATTTAGTCACATATCTGTGGCCTTGAATTTCCCGCCCCCGCCCCCCTTCCTTTGGGTCCTGGAGCAAAGTCCAGGAAACTATTTTGGCAGAAAAGCAAAGAAAACCTTTCTCACCATGCTGTGCAATCAATGTTTTTTTTAATGGTATTTTGGCAGTACTGGGGTTTGAATTCAGAGTTTTACACTTGGCTTTATTATTATTAATTGTTATTATTACCTTTAAGTAATACTACCAAGAGGTTGCAATTGAACACATCAGCTCATGAGTATAATGTATCATGATCAGTGTCAGCCCTTCCATTGTTCTCCCTCATTTTTTTTTTGTTGTTGTTGGTTGTGGGGCTTGAACTCTGGGCCTGGGTGCTGTCCCTCAGCTCTTCAGCTCAAGGCTACTACTCTACCACTTTACCCACAGCACCACTTCCGGTTTTCTGGTGGTTAATTGGAGATAAGATTCTCACAGACTTTCCTGCCTGGCCTGGCTTTGAACCATGATCCTCCAATCTCAGCCTCCTGAGTAGCTAGGATTATAGGCATGAGCTACCAGTGCCCAACTTTCCTCTGCTTCTTGATTTCACTTCCCCCAACACATGTTCCAGCTCTCTGACATTCATTCTTCTCTACTGCTTGAGCCACACCTACATCCCCTTGCAATCAATTTTAAGCTAGTTTTTTAAACTGGGGGGGAGGGGATGGTTTTAGCTGACAAGAAATGATGTTGATAATTTAACAGAGGATAGAAGGGTGCTGGTGACCTTGTTATATTCAAAGGTCACAGGATAGTTTTGTGTGGATATTGAACATGACAGATTTTCCCCCCCAAACAAAATCGGTGGATGACAACCATGGGTCACCTGCCTGTAAAAATCGTTGACCTTGGGCTGGGAAGGTGGCTCAGTGGTAGAGTGCTTCCTTGCATGTATGAGATCCTGGGTTCAATTCCTCAGCATTACATAAGCAGAAAAGGCCGGAAGTGGTGCTCACTCAAGTGGTAGAGGGCTAGCTTTGAACTGAAGAGTCGGGGGACAGCGTCCAGACCTAGAGTTCAGGCTCCACCACCGACAAAAAAAAAAAAAAATTGTTGACCTTGAAGCTCAGAGGGAGATGGCACCCTCCCTCTGCCCACACTGTGTTGTAAAATCTTTGGGGGATGTTAATACGCAGAGGTGTTGGGACTTACCTCCATTTATTAAAAACAAAACCTAAACCAGGAGCCTATAATCCTAAATACTCAGCAGGCTGAGATCTGAGAATCATGGTTCAAAGCCAGCTTGAGCGGGAAAGTCCATGAAATTCTCATCTCCAATTATGCACCAAAAATCCAGAAGCAGAGCTATGGCTCAAGTGGTAGAACAGAAAAGGAAGGCTGGAGGTGTGGCTCAAGTGGTAAAGTGCACAACTAGCAAATGCTGGGTTCTGAGTTCAAACTCCACCCTGGCTAGAAAAGGAGGAGGAGGAGGAAGAAGAAGAAGAGGAGGAAGAAGCATATAGCAAACAAAGAAACAGTGAATCGCCTGGACAATTGTTTGGTTTTTTTCTTCCTGAACAGACAAGTCCATCTTGTCCTCACCACCCTGATGTGGTGATTTATAAACACATAGCATGTTCCCACGCCAGTAATTACCTAACATTAACTACCATCCAAATAAAGTAGATCCTCTGAACTGCCTGCTCTCCAGGAGAGGTGCAAATAAAAATCAGCCCCATCAGCGTTCTTCAGCACTTGCCCAGAAGAGACCATTATTAATCTGAGTGGTTTCCTTACTTTTTTTTAAGCCCTCATGCTAAGAAGATATGGTATTAAGTCAGAAAGAACAACTCCAGCTCTTTTACCAACAGGAGCTAGGAAATGGCTTGTCCATGAGGCTCTGGAACCTTCTGTTCTGATTTCACCCAGTGGGAGATGGCGCTGGCCTGGTGTTTGGAATGTTTGGGTTCTCAATCAATATTTGTTAATTGCATGTCAATATTTAGTTAGCTGAAAGGCAGAAGACTGGCTGTGGGGAGCGTGAACCATCCACGTAATCTCTGACCCTGAAACTTTTAGCTAACCTCCTTAGAACTGGCTGGTCTTCTTGCCCTCCCCTTGACCGCCTGGAAATGTAACTCATGTGTGGCACAGTTCAAGTTTAAAATGTAATCAGGGAAAGTGCTCCTGTCAGGCCAGCAGCCGCTGATCACAGCGAGCAAGCCCACGTCAGGCTCCATCAGGTTTGATGACATCTCGGGCACCTGTCTAGAATATAGAACAAGTAGAGGAGGGACAGGGAGCAGGGAGCTGTCACCCTCTCTATTCCAGGATATAAAGTAACAACCTAGAGCCAGGTGATGGTGGCTCATGCCTGTGATCTGACTTACGTGGGAGGAAGAGAATGGAAGGATCCCAGTTCAAGGCCAGCCTGGGTAGAAAAGTTCACGAGACTCCTTCTGAACCTAGAGCCAGGCACGTTTGCACACATTTGCTATCCTGCAGACAGGAGATTGGGAGGATCATAATTCTAAGCTAGCCTAGGCAGAAAAGTCCATGAGCCTCCATCTCAACAAAGGGAAGTTGGAGACACTGTGCCATGCTTGTCTTCCTGGCCAAAATAAGAAGACTAAAATAGGTGGATTACTGTCCAGATTATTGTGTCAGGGCAGAACGTGAGACTCTATAACCAGCAAAAAGCAGGTCTGGAGGTGTGGCTCAGCAGCAAAGCATTTGCCTAGCAAGCCTCAGTACCATTAAAAAAAAAAAAAAAAGGGAAGGTGGGAACAGGATTTGCTGAGCTGCTCTTAGTTCTGGTCCTTAGTCAGCAAGGATGGTGGCTGAGCTTACCAGGAGCAGAGGTAACAGTACAGGTTGTTATCCTAGCATTGTTAGCAACTCAACTCGCCGCTTCTCCCTAACCCCCACAGCTGTCTGAGCCAGAAAACATCTGTCCTTGGACAAATCAAAACTGGCGAGCCTGGCTGGGACTTTTGCCCACATATCTTGGTCAGTTTTTCTGTGACTCTCTGGTCCTCATACTCAAGGTCAATTAAGGTCATGTAGCAACTCCAGCTCTGAGGACGGAAAAGATGAAATCTGCACTCTCTGCTTTTCTCTCTTGACATCTGTCTCTGAGATATCAGGAAGTTGTATCAGCCTGCAATTTCACATTCAGTATTTCTCAGAGATTGCGCGCGTGTGTGTGTGCGTGTGCGTGTGTGTGTGTGTGTGTGTGTGTGTGTGTGTGTGTGTGTGTGTCCTATCACACAGAATCTCCTGCCTTCTCTTCTCCTTTCTTGCTGTCACAGAAAAGAACTGCCTGGCCCTGAGTCTCTCTTTGAAAAAAATAAAAATCACAGCACAGAGACTGGGAAGCCTTTCAAAAATGACAGTTGTTCAAGAGAAGGAAATTGGCTGACATTGATCTAGGGGTAGCTTTGAGAAGATCCAAGAAATCAAGGCAGTTAGCGCGAGGGAGAGGGAATAAAAAAGCAAAGAAGAAATGAGAAAGTCTTTAGCTGGAAATAAGAAGCATCTTGCTGAGGGTTTTTTTTTTTTAAGATAAGCTCTCCTCATCCCATTCTATGGCAGCCTCAGATGAAGA